AGAATATAGCAGTGTGCACGTGTGACAGCAATAGGGGACAGAATAGTTGGGTATTAGGATATGGTGGCAGAGGTAGGAGGTGTAAACAGCAGATAAGGTAGTGGGTTAGGATTCAGAAAATGGGGAAAGGTAGATGACGTTGCTGGGGTTAAGTTAGGAGTACCGGGATCTTCCAGGGAGGAGGACACTAGTGGTGGATCCACTGCACTGCCCACGAGCACTGGGAAGGGACGCGGCACGGAGCAGGCGCGAGGGCTGGAGCGCCGGCGAGGAGGACGGGTCTGGCCTTTGCCTTGCAATAACCACCCAGCGCTGCTCTCTGCCAGCACGCTGGCTTGAGGCCCTCTCCATGCAGAACAGGGCAAAGACTTGCTTGCCCATGCAAGAAAAGCAAAGGAGCCGGGGTGTGATTTGCTGTTTTCCTTCATGAAACGAGGGCTTAGAACAGATTCGGTTTGGAGTGAACTTTGCAAACGTGGAGGAGGCGCACACTACTTACAGCTTTGTTCTGAAATCAGTCTCTCCTGCTCTACTGCCCACTACTGAAGTAAATGTCCTTTTCACTATTATTTTTAATGCCTCCCACAGAAGAGAGAAAGGCAAAGGGCCTTGGCAGTAACCTGACCTGCCTGCCCTGATGCACCGCCGCTCTCTGCTGAGCCCCTCCGAGCAAGAGCAGCTGTAGCTGAGGCCTCGCAGGGACTGGATGTGGCTCGGGAGCAGCAGGCACTTCTGCTTGTATATTTGCTGAATGACTGGATGCAGCTCGTTTAGTTGAGAATCTCCCTTCATGCCAAAATGCAGTGGATCATTTTAACTGACTTTGTATGTTTTAATTTTGCAGGGCTTTGAAGGGGGAATTCTGATAATCTCAAACTGCAGCTATGGCTGCTTCCATCATCAGCAAGTTGAGCTTTCCTTTTTAAATCTAATTTTAGCATTTGCTTTTTAACAAGAGCAATTTTGGAAACAATCCTGGATTGGTTTTGGTGACTAACTTGTGATTTTTCTTTCCTTTCCCTTTGCGGTACCTGGTGCCAGGCTCTGGGTTCTCTCCCGTTCTCTCCTGAGAGACTCTGAGGGAAAATTAGCGCATCAAGACTGTAACTAGTGAAATTTGTACAACCAAAGAAATCTATTTTGTGGTTCAAGGATAATAAAGTTTACTTTACATTTTAGAGCCTGTAGTTAATGCAATTTGCCCTTTGTGAGCATCTGCAGTTTCTACACCAACACTGGTCCTGATTATCAGTCAACCTATAATCTAGCAAACATACCATTGAATTTTACTGGTTCTGTGTGCAATAATAAATAATCACGTAAATTAGTGCTAGCTCCAGGAATATCAACATGAGCTTGTGCTACGTGTGCAACCCTATCTGAAAGTCCTCTAGCGCATCTGCTGTTCATCTCCATTTTTTTTCCGAAGCTAAAATTAAACTATGGAATCTGTGTAGGGAGGAAGAGAACCCAAAACAGTAATTGCTGTGTGCACATTCACCTAGTCTGAAAAGGACTTTCTATTTCGGAAGCAACAGCTCATTGGTCAGGGCAGAGTAGAGGCTTTTGCTCCTGCAGTGGCTGTTGTGATGCTCCGTGGAAGCGATGGGAGTGGGGAAAGGAAACGGGGACAGATGGGAGGCAGGCAGCCACGGTTTCAGCATCACGTATGGCGGTGGCAGCCTGCTCCCTGGCCTGCAAGAGAGGACAAATTCGGGAATGACCAAGTCATCCTTTCCGTATTACACACTTGTGAGACAAGTCCCGGCACTGGCTGCAGAGAGACCCCCTGCACCAGGAGGGGTTCAGTGCACACAGAACGGAGCTGGGTGCTGTGGTGCTTCACGCGCCCGGCCCGCGCCAGCAAAGGCTGCCACGCGCGACGTCCCCGGCAGCAGGAGCGCTCGGCCTCGCGGACGCGGCACAGCCCCCGCTCTGCCCGTCACCCACCAGCGCGGTCAGTGCAAGGCTGCTCGTCCACAGCAGCGTGCAGGAGAAGAGGCCATGAGCTTCCCTCCAGCGCCATCCTAGCACCAGCAGAACCAGTTGTTTGCTATCAAAACACAACTGCTTAGAGTACAACAAATGCAAGACGTGGGACTTGTAAATGCCAACACCTACACATGTTACTTGTTCACTGGGGTTCAAACAGAAAAGCAGGGCCAACATCCAGTGCTGCAGACGACTGAGCGAACCATCCTGGCCGTGCGGGTCGCGCCACTGGCCCCGGCGATGGCGCGAGGCAGCCGCTGCCCTGGGACCCGGGGCCAGGCATTGCTGCTCTGCCTCCCCACCAAAGAGCACGACCCTCCAGGTCTGAGTTACCACGAGCACGTTGTTTGAAAGAAATGATGAAATCAGTAGCACGTGAATTTTGGAAGAATTTTAATTCTGCAAACAGTTGCTTCTTGTAGCTGCAATGATTCAAAAATCTCTACTAGATAGATATAATTATTTTAAAATACATTTGCCGTATTTTAATCACCATATTTATTAAGAGTGGGTAAGGGTAAGCAAAAATTCGGGCTAAATGTGCTAGCCACCAAACAGAAATAACAGAAGTCTGAGTAGGATTCAGTTCACGATTAAGACACCTAAAATTGATCTCTAAGTTTAACCGATTAGTTATCTAGTTATCCTAGAATACAATGGGAGACACTCAGCTCCCACGGAGACATGCTTAAATTTGTGTCTGAAATCAAAGCTTTATATCTTCGCTTCAAGAAAAAATTAAAATGTATGAGTCCAGAAAGGAGGGCATAAGGTAGCACATTACCAAGGGACACTGGATGATCGGACAAGTATCACCAGTTAGTGGCCTAGGCACAGGACAGCCCTAGTCCTCCCATCAGGAGCCACTTCTTGAGCTCCGTGAGCAAAGGGGTCTCTCCCTGTCACCACAATCCGCCCCCCATAGAGCAGATACACGAGCTCCTCGGTGTCTTGGCCAAGCCTTTCTGGGCAGGCTTCTTAGAGCAACAGAGCAACAGATCTAGACTTTTTAAATATAGCTTTGAGCAAATCTCCTTAGCATAAGCACCAGAACAGCAGTTCTGGATCTTACGGCCTCCCAGACACCTTTTTTCTCCTTAGTTTTTCTTTTATGAGCAATATTTGCACTCCATGCTATCCAGCTGAGAATGGCTCAGTATAGCACTGAGATGATTCTTCAGTCCCTGCATGAGGCCCAAGCACGAGGCTTGGTCAGTCACAACTTTGCATTAATTTTTCACAATAACCGTTCCTCCCCTCTCTGCAAGGACAGGCAGAAGCGAGCAAGCAGCCTCTGGCCATTCTCAGAGAGGGCAGAACGTGTACAAGGGACAGCGGTATTTAAATCTTGTTTTGGAAAAACAAACAAAGAAAAAAATCCACAACAGAGTGTTAATAGGTCCTTAGTGGATGTCGATGTTCCCATGGCACAAGAAAGGTAACGAATAAACTTTCCTACCTAGAATTGTTTTTCTATTGGCCTCTTCATCTAAGCAACTCCCAAGTGCAATGAATTCATTCACATCATAAATATGTGAAAGTAAAACCATGTCAATTTTGCAGAAATTTAAGCAAAAGAAGGTAATCATTACTTCCTTAAAATGGTTTGAGAATACTGCTACAGAACCATCCTTCGGGAAGCATGAAACCTTCTTTTGGGTGGATGATACCTTATCTTCCTTTGCTCCTTCTCTCACCGCTCAAAGGAAGATGGTACCACAAAATTCTCATACAGCCATAAGTTAGGAAGTTGCTACAGGCTCTCTCATTCTCTAAATGAGAAAATAAATGCAAAAATTAAAATTAAAAATAATGCTTTAAGGTGTTATTAATTTCATTCACTCTTTCATTCACATTGCTTCTATCATTTTAATTTTGTTTTAAACCTGCTTCAAAAAAAACAATCAATTGAAGTGTCACATTAGCTAACAAGGCCTGCAGGTGTTTAGCTCTGCTCTGATTTAGCAAATCTTTGTTTTTAGCTTCTAGATGATTCTAAATTGGAAACCACAGCAATAAGCAAAGAGAAGGGGATAGAAAGAGGGGTGAAATTGGAGATTTGCATTTCAAAATAGGAGATAAGAGAATTCCTCTCTAAGCTGTATCTGTCACTATCAGGCATTAAATTTAGGACACCCACACAACAAATCACAAAGGCCAAA